GGACACTAGCTTCTCATGATCGGATTTTAAAACATCATGCTTGCTTTTTAAATCATTAAAATCATTTTGCAATTTGTTATAGGCATGCAATAATTTTTCACTAGCACAAGCAAGTTCATCACTAGATAAATCATTATCGGGTTCGAACTCGCAAACCTCACTAGGGCTATCGCCTAGTGGCCGTGTGCATGATGCTCCACATGAACTTGAAGCGGGATCCTCCAAAGCTTGTCGGATCGCCTCCAAGTCTCCTTGATGTGCTTCTATAAATATCCATAAGGTGTAAGCACTATCAAAATGAACAAACTTGTTAGACATAGATGAGTTAAAAGCATTTAACAAATATTCTAACAAAATGTTGTTCATAGTAAACATGCGATGATCATTTTTATTCCACTTGGATTTCTCCAAAATGGGCACAATATAAGCATCATCTATAATTTCCCATAAATCAAAATGTTTAGATCTAACAAATAGTTTAAATCTAACACACCATTGGGCATAGGGGAAATTGTCTAATCTAGGAGCAACACTAGAATCATAGCCTAAACAAGATGCATCATTCATATTCATAATTTGTAAAAATATGCAAGCAAGATGCAAATGCAATCAAAACAAGATTAGCACAAAAAGATAACTTGGATCTTTAACTCAAGGCGATTAGACCTTAAATCAAAGAGCACCAAGCTCTGATACCAATTGTTAGACCCTAGAGGGGGGGTGATTAGGGTCTTATGCTAATCTAATCCGATTAAATGCCAATTAAAATTAATTAACAAGTTATATTCTTGCAAGATAGGTGTACAAAGGGTTATGTGCAAGAATATGCAATATACACAAGGTGATATATCCTAGCAAAGAGGTATACTATATGATATATGCAAGGATATATAAACTAACACAAGGGGTAAACAATATGAACTAGATAGTGGATCATATAAATGATGAGCTAATGACAATGGCAACAAGAATTATAAACACAAGTATAAATAAACGCCAAAGCACACTCAAACACAAGATATGATCACGGAGTTCGGACCTTCCGTCCTACGTCTCCGCTCCCCACTCCCGGGGAGAAATCCACTATCAACCGGGTTTTCTACGTTCACCCGAATAACGTTTACACCTCACAGTATCGGTTTTCAACGCTCACCGATCAACGTCACTCCTCACACTCGGTTTCTAGCTCACCGAAAACCTCACTACACACTCGGTTTCTAGCTCACCGAAAACCTTACAACACTCACAATGTAACAAATATAAATTTGTTCTCTACAATAGATGAGAACACAATGAAAGCACAACTCAAAGTTACAATCTCTCACCACCCAACTATACTATGTATGAAAGATACAATAAGCTCAATGTGGGTGTGTGTGTAACAATGAGTAAATAAGATCAAATCAACTAAACTCAAGTATGAAATCTAGCTTAAGAACAATGATAATCAATCAAGTATATAAATGTAAAGCTAGAGTTTGAGTTTAGAAAACTTCTCAATTTGATAACAAGAGATGGAGGGATGATAGTTGGAAGCTCAAACTTCAATAGATAATCTCCTCAAGCTCTTGTGGAATTTGATTCACCAAAACAAACTCTCAATTTGCTTAAAAGCTTTTTAAACACACTTAAACCAAACTAAAACCCTTGTTAAAAACTTTATTAAACTTGATTAAAAACTCTCTTAGTTAGTTTGAAAAGACATCAGCAATGGGGTATATATACCCTCTCAAACTTCAGCTAAAAACCTGAGCAAAAGACAGAAACAGCCCCAAGGCAACGGTCAAAAAACTAGCCGTTGGAAGCTGAACTGGACGGCGTCGGTCGACCGAAAATTTCTTCGGTCGACCGAAAATTTTCATCGGTCGACCGTACCGGTCGACCGAAAATTTTCATCAGTCGACCGTACCGGTCGACCGACAGGCTTCTGTCGCCCAGAGGTTCGGTCGACCGGTGCGGTCGACCGAATACTGATACTCAAAAAACTGTATATCTGGTTTTAAAACGCTGTTTAAAAATATCAAATAAATTCCAAAAAATGTAAAACTTTGGGGAATGATTGTAGACATGATAATAAACATGCTACAATGACTGGTTTCGAAAAAAGACTTCCCAAATGAAAAATATCATCATTTTACAAAATAGTCCAAAACATGAAAACCTGAAAATTGATATTTTGATATTTTGACTTAAACAACATTTTGAAACCTTATGAAATGATTGTATAGACTTGATAAAAGATATAACATGTTGTTATGAAGTCTATAACCTAGAAATACAATATTTTCATAAAATTGCATATTCTATGCAATATATTCAAAACACTAAATATGATTTCATTAAATATAAGCTTGTTAAAGGTGAAATCATAACTAGGCATATAAACATGAAACAAAAATATGTTTTCTAATTATATTCAATTGTTTCATAGTAAAACTTGAAAACTATCAAACCAAAACATATATGTATATATATAACTATATATATACAAAAACCAAAACGTGCATGTGTGTATATGATTGAGCTTAAAGTACTAACACACATAATATAAATCCTAAACTAAGTTACCCAAGCTTGATCTTGATCTTCATTGAGCTCAACTTGGTACACGTTGCAGATGAAGCTAAACTTGGATCTTGAACTTGAATTGTTCGATGCTTCACTCCACAATTCCGCCAACCTCCATTTGATATCGTCGTTGAAGCGCTATTCCATTCATCCTCCAACTATGTTGTTTGTCTACAATAAATACTAAAACACAAATACTAGACAAACAACATTAGTAATAAATTGTTTGTTAAACATCATCAAAACAAGAATGCCAACACACAATATACTAACAGCCCCACGTATATTCTCGCCGATTCATCGAACATCTTTACGCTTGTAAATGTGGCAGGAACAAGTCAAATTGACATAAATTACACACGAGAAACAAGCGAACAGCTGGTTGAAGTTCACACGTTCAGGGCTCGCCGTCACCACAATCTGGGTACGTCACGCACTTGAACACCTTACATTTGGAGCACAAAACATATCCTACCTGCAAAAAAAAAATTTAAAATACAATTTAAAAAAAAAACCAAATGAAATTTTCAGCATGGAAGGCAACTTCCTGTTCATGATCCTGAGGGGCTTACGCCTTTGCAATTCGGGCACCGGCGATAAATCCTGTTACTGGCCTCGGACCTCACATTGGTCTTCTGACCCTCGCAGAAGTCACAAAGCAACCATCCTCTGCCGTTACAAGGCTCGCACATGATTCCTGCATCCTTAAAACCCCAAAAAATTTTATGCACGGGGGTTAGATTAATGGATTCAAGATTTTGCAGGGTTATATATATATTTACGGATTGCATTCAAGATTTTTCTCACACGGCCGAGACATATATATCAATGCGGTATAATTAAAGTTCGAACCGGGACAAAAAACGAATACCGTGATCGAGACCGACGCTGATACTGACCTCCTCTCGCTCGCCGAAGTCGTTCGTTTCTTGGTGCGTATCAGGATTCAGTTGAGCTGACGCGCGGTTCACAGATATAGCGTATTTAGCGCCCGCCGCCAGGGGACTATTTGCCTTCCTCTGCATGCTTAACTGCGTGGCCGCCGCCGTGCGGTCGAATCCATCGAGGGCAGGAAGGCCGGGACCGGCAGTGATCGGCCAGGATCCAAGTCGTCTGCCCGCCAGCCAAATGAGCAGCCATGTTTTTAGTTTTTTCTGCTGCCGAGAGTTCACTCTGAGCCCCGACCTCTTGTTTTTTCTTCCCTTTTTTAAGTGGATGAGGCAAGAAGATTTGCGCATAACACCCCCCGAATGTTTTGCTATTTGCAGATACTACTTCTACGGGTAGACGCTAGACAGGGCTTGGTGTATCAACCGTGTGATGATCAGAAACGCTGGCGGAGGGACACGGCGGGCAACACTGGATCCCCTATTTTAATTAGATATATTTTTGTTATATTTATTTGTATTTACTGCTTAGGACACTACAAGGAATTAGGATACGACACCGTTTAAAGGAATAAAGTTACAAAATTGCCAATGCAGATTCTAGATACGATCGTGGTAAATTATATGGCGTCATCACTGGGTCAAAATCATGGCTACGCCGCTGCTCGAAAACCACTGGATAATTTATTACGTTCTTTCTTTACTTCTTCTTCATTCGGTCAAGGGCTTGAGGCTAATTTACATGGAGAATAAGTAGCATAAAAATGCGGATTGGAACCGTATAGAATTTCCTGAGCATACATGAGCATCAAAAAAATCAAATCCTATAATTTAATATTAAAGGGCAACACTTTTTTCCCCCCAACAGACATTAATAATAACAGCGTCAGAGAAGTTTATCAAGAAATCTTAAAAGTTCGGGGGTATTGCAGGACACCCCCTAGGTGCAGAGTTAGGGGTGTATATGGTCCAGATACGGTTCGAGTACGATGTTTACTATATTGGTATCCTTTTATCAATAATGGATGCGGACACGAATATGTCTCGGTAAGAAGAAAAAATCATATCCATATCCGATAGAATTAGATACAGAGGGGGATATGAATACGAATATATAAGTTGATATACATGCAGAGAAAAATAGGATATAAGAAAACTAGATGATATTAAACAAACTAGATGATATCTAAAAGGATAAAATATGAATCCTCGTATATGGATATTTTTGTGCACCGCAGGGAAAATGCCGAAAAGTATAGGGTGTCAAGTGTAAAAAGCCCTAAAGGTAAGGGGGTTGGAGATATTAACCGCAGGAAATAAAGCGCTACGTGTAGAATTAAGCCCAAACCCATTTGTGGATACAAGTTGAACGGCCCAGGCCCATTACAACCGAAAAGACCGAAAAGGACACAATCCTTCCCCAAACAGCATCAGCCACTAACAGGGCATCTCAGTAATTAACTCGAAAAGCCCCGCCCACCAGCGCGGGAAGCAATTAGACGCTTCTTTATCTCTCTAAAAACAAAATTAATTAACAAAATAAAAATTCTGGAAGCATCCAGAGAACACAAGAGGAGATCCGGCCCCTTTTTTCCCCTCGCCTTCAAATTACCCCCCAATTTTTGCTCCGATCATTTTCAATTGTTCGAAACCCTAAGTGAGATCTAGAGAGAGAGAGAGAGAGAGAAATCCTAAGAGTGAGATTTAGATTGGATTGGTTGCGGGTGGTTCTTGCTAGGGTTAGGGTTAGGGTTTTTGAGTGGCGATGGCTGGATTCGGGCTGATGAAGACGAAGAGGAAGGATCTGGAGGAGGTTTACGATGAATTCTCTGAGTTCTCACTCAATTCCCCGGCGAGAAAGATTCGGAGGCTGGTAAATTTTGAATCTTTATCCATCTATTTTGAGTTTTTTCCTAAATTTTCTGCGTTTAATTTTGTCCTTTTGGTGGGATTATTCAGCGAAAGTAAAGGGATTTAGCGTTTATTTTTGTCCTTTTGGTGGGATTATTCAGCGAAAGTAAAGGGATTTACATTTATAGATAGAAATTAGAGTTCGACTTTTTCAAATCCTTCTTTCTGGCTACTTAAGTGGATGCTTCAAACATTTTCTTCAGTTCTTGATGCCGTTTAATCAAATTCCATGGGGAAAATTTCTGATAACGCCCTCATCTACACCTTCAGTAGCACTTACCATCACTGAATCCTCACTTTGAGAAGGGTAAATTGCAGATAAGCCCCCCGGCCTTATGCACTGACGGGAGCGAGGCGCTAATAAAACAGTGAGGGGTGATAACTACTCGTGAGGGTTTAAATGAGTGAAGCTTACCCAATTGTAGATAAGCCAATGTTAGGGATTTGTGGGGATTAGTATTTTTTTTTCCTGTGATAAATTTTGATTACATCAAAAGTTAGTAACATGTGTAGCTGATTGTTATGCTTTAGGATGCTGAATTGCCTCCTATTATGGAAGAAGAAGACCAAACAGTTCCTTTACCATTTGAGAATCAAATGCCGCAAGAAGTAGCTGGTGCTGAAATTGTGGATTTGGACTTGGAGCAGATTCCTTTGAATGAGGAGAGAGCTTTGGTTTTGTATAAGCCAGTTGATAATCACCTCGTTGTGTCGCCTAGTTCGACTTTTAGTGTGAACCCAGACTTGATTTATGGTCTTAAGAGTGAGTAGTTATATTCCCTTCCTCTTTTTACATAGTATTTTGTTGTTCATATTTCTTTTTGCGAATATGTAATGCTGATATTTGTACGTTTGTTGCATTTGGATGTGCATTCGTGTTTGTGCCATCATGGATACGTATAGTTATCATGTACAGTGCATCAAATAAAGTAGATAATTCTCAACTTCCCAGGGAGAACAATTCTTATGGTTATGTGGCTTGGGGTCATGCATTGAACATCTACAAAGGTCCTTAACCGTTGAATGTGTCTTTAATGTTTATATCATTTCATGTGTCTGTCAGATACTGCTGGCTGCCCTAGTGATGGATTTGGTTATTCCCTTTGTTAGAAACTTGTACTCCTTAAATTTAATTGTCCAATCAGGAGCAAGAAAATTTTCAAGTGCTAGATTTAACTCTTGCTAGGTTTCAGAGTGTTGGTTATCTTTGAAGTTCAAATTCTTAAAAACCACTCCAACTCTATATTCCATACAAATATTGGGTTCGTTTGATTTTTTAGTACAGCAAAGGCTGCTTATGTTCAACCTCGTCTTCTATGTCCTTTTGTCTTTGATGTTCATCTGAAACAAACTGGAGTTACTTGGCTTCATGGCTAAGGGTAAAACAAGAAACTCTTTTCACTGGAGGTTGATGCCTCTCTTTACATGTCATATTCCGCCTGTCTATACTTACACTTTTTTTTGAACTATTTATCCCTGATGTTTATAACTTCTCTCTGGTCCACGAGTTGTGCGAATGCTGTCTTCAGCAAGCGGCACATAGATTTGCTACGTCAATGTTTTTCTGGAATACAAATTGGATGGTGGTTCAATGGACTTTCTCTGTTCGCTATACATAGTTGGTTTCTAACAAAAGCATTTAACGATGTATTTCCATTTGGAAGCTATGATGTA